TTAAGGTATTTTCATTTCACTCTTTATTATCTTTATAAATTATCATACTTACAACCCAAAATTAATGTAGTTTATTAATTTCAATAAACTATATTTTTATTTTTAAATTTAGTATGTATATTATTTTTTTTATCTTTAAAATTTTTAAATATTATACTTATTGAATGAGACTGTTAAGGTATTTTCATTTCACTCTTTATTATCTTTATAAATTATCATACTTACAACCCAAAATTAATGTAGTTTATTAATTTCAATAAACTATATTAAAATTGCAAAACTTGAGATTAATTTTAATAACAATGTTTTTTTTTTTTTAAAATTTATTTTATGGTTTGCATTAGCATGAAAAATTTGGCTTACTAGAAGTGAAAAATGGTTTAATAATGGTGCAGTTGACATTGAAGGATGTTTAAGTCGATTCAAGTTGAAAGTTCCTAGTGGCTGACGATTCGATGACAAACAGGGTATTTTTATTTTTTGGACTAGCTGCTTATTCCTAGATTATGTTGCCGTGGTACTAAGAAGGTGGGATGTTGTAACTCAAATATTGTGAGTTGCATTTTGGGTTTTGATATTGTATTTGGGTTAAGTACTCTTTGTACTTAAAAATAATTTCATATATTTTACTTTTCAAAAAAGATTAACATAGTTTATTATATTTTAATATAACCATTATTTCAAATATGAAGATAATATTAGGAATTAATTAAATCTTTTTGCAAAACCCCTATATTTCATTTTTTATAATTTACTTTTCTTCATCTATAAAAAAAAAAAGCCTTTTTTTACAAAAAAAATGAAAATGTTATAATCTAAATAAACAAATTTTTTACATATTGAATAAATTAAAAATCGAAACTGTTAAATCTAAACCCAAAAACTTTCTCTTTAAGTTTTCAAATTGTTTTAAGATTTTATTTTTAGATTTTTGTCATCTATTATTATTATTATTATTTTCTACAATAAAAAGTGCCAAGCACTGGATTACCGCGTGGCGTGAGGCCTACATACGTCTAGTAGAGTCATCTCCAAAAAATTACGAATCCCATCAGCTGGTGTCCCGAAATAGTGGAATCCATCTTGCAGGTGACAGTGCTGTGAAGCCATGAAGCCTGCACTAACATTACCTTCTCAATAAGCAAAGACGAAGGATATGGCCCCCCCTGCCCTACTGGAAAAAAATTAATATTTTTGTAGGTATTTTAATTAAAAATTAATATACATAAATAAATTTAGTAAATAAGTAAATGTCTAGGCTGAAAATATTAGTACATAATTCAAGAACTAAGTTTAATCCAAAGATTTATTTGAAATAAAAGAAAATAGAGTTATGAAATGATTTTGTTTTTCTTTTGTGATTATAATTAAAAAATTCTATAAAACATCTATTTCTTGAAAAAATATTATAAAAATAGTTTTAAAATCTCTAATTAGCCCAAATTTCTAGACTTAAACTCTACTCATCCCCTCAATCATTCTTCTCTTCATAATAGATAGTTATATTTCGTTATTGGTTAAAATTTCCTCCATCAAGTCTCTTTTTACACTCTTAATTTTTTGAAGCAATTAAACAATTTTAATTTTTGATAAAAAAATAATTTTAATTTTTGATGAAGAAAAAAAAAAAGCTATCTTTCTTTCTTTTTGAAGGTATTTATCATATATAATTTATAAGTTGGTTATCATACTCACATTATAAATGAAATAATTTCGTTTTATGGTGTCATTTTTTATGTTAATAAACAATTTTATTTCATTGTTATTAAATTATAATATCAAATTTTGTAATAATTTTATTTTATAATACTATAAACTTAAATTATTTTATTGTTAGTTAAAATTTTCTCCATTAACTCTTATAATTTGAGCAAATTATTATAATATCATATTTTATGTTAAATCATCTTTTATATTATATATGTTATAATTATATTATTATATCTAAATGGGATAAAAACAATTTAGCCCCCTCTTATATTTTGGTCAAGCTTCGTCCTGTCTATATTAAGTATGCTGCACGACACATGCAAGTCCAGTCCCGTTTGACAAAATTCTGTACCCCTTTAATTAGACTTGAGAGAGTGCTACTTTTCCAACCATGGAGTTAATCAAAGTTTGGATGGCCAACAATGAATCCGTTTCAAATACCACTTTTTTGTATCCCTAATTCCATGCTAATTCATTCCCTTCAAGAGAGCAAACGACTCAGTCCGTATTGCATGTTCTTCTCCCCACTGTTGAGTGAATCCAAATAACCATTGTCCAGCGGCGTCTCGGCATGCTCCATACGCAGCTGACAGTCCAGGTGAACCCTTTGCAGATCCATCTACATTGACTTAGTAAATTCTGACGGCCGAGATTTCCTTCCAATTAACTCCTCATGTTTCAAACTGGTTCTTTGCTTCCTCAAATAATAAGCAGCCTCCACTAAGTGAGATTTTAAAAGAGAATCTATTGTCGAATGCTGTTGGAGTTGTGGTGTTCAAGCTGCCAAGTAGCAGCAAGTGAAAATGAAAGGCTGCACAAAATGGCAGCAAATGAAGAAGGGAGAGCTGCACCA